AAAATTATGTACAAACCCCTGAAAGGCATAACTGCCGAACAGGAAGAAAATAAATTTTAAAAAAAATGTCAGACTTTTAGCAAATTCTAAAAGGTCAACTTCATGTGTACCTCTTTTCCTTTATTAAAGCTAGACATTCTTTAATTAGTGCTAACCATTTGCCAATATTTACAATTGAAATGATTTCATGTCCATTGTGTTTTCAACATATTAAGTATTTTCAGTAATTTTGAATTCAGTGGTGTCAATATTCCAAAATTGCGTAAAAATGGTTGTCCCAAAACAGCTACACATTTTTTCCAAACTGTGGCATACCAACGGGGAAGTCAACGATGGATCACAGAGTTAATTTCCCCCTCTGCTTTTGTTTAGGTGAGAAGTTAGTATTTCATCGTTGAGGACTTTTGACACTAGAACCTTTTTAAGCCCGAAGTGAAAACTTCGTCATTCAACGACTTCCGGATATTTACAAAACAGTTCGAAACCGTCGCCCTCCGTAATAGCTTCATGGAAACTCGGGGTTCTCTTATAGCCAGGCCTACACATATACACGTTACAATCTTATTTACCAATCTACTATTTACGGAACTAGACAACCGTTTTTCAAAATGTATTTTCTTCCCGTTCGATTTTCGCCTTTTGGGGATTTTGAAGGCTACAATATTACAATAATACAATAAGGCTACTAAATAAATTTATTTGTCCATTTTTCACGTAAAAATGGAGGTCTTTGTATAAACCATCAGTATTTTTAAAATTTCATATTTATACAACTTTAGTCTATATTTATTGCCAAGAAGTGAAAGGAGGTTGTTTGTGGTGTAACAACTCCCTTATTTTATTTATCATTTACTTAGTTCTAGCTACAAAGTTGGGAGCACCTTATTTTGACATGCAGAGGCGGTTGAATCTCAGGGTGACCCGGCTTATCTGTTCTTCATTAGCGGCTCCGCAACGTCACGGTGGTACTGAAATGCGGGAGGACGCGTGCGTGACTGGCTTTAAACATGCACAAATGCACAATGCACAATGTACAATGCAACATGCACATTAGACATTAAACAATTGAAGTCGGTTCATATATTTAAGTTAAAAGTAAAATCTTTTCTGCTGCAGAACTGTTTATATACAATTAGAGACTATACTGATGATCAAAAAGAAAAATAATGTTTATTTTAATAAAACAGTGATATACAATGAATTAGTTTACAATTGTATTGTATAATTTTTTTAAAAAGACTTATAATGTTTGTAACAAATATTGTACTTCGGCTTCCGGGTCAATGATCCCCATCTCGATCAGGTTCCCTGATCCCCCCCATTTTGCCAGTTTCCCTGATTCATTGAGCAAATTCTGAGATGGCCACCTGTTTTGCTTTTGGACGTAAATGTAGCTTCACTATGCGCACGTTTTGGTGAACTTTCCTTTTCTTGTAATGGTAAGAGTAGAGGTAAAGGCGAGTTTCTATTTTGTTAGCAATGCAGAAAAATCATACTTGCAATTCATTTACCGATGCAAATAATTTTCTAGAAATGAAAAGTCTATTTTTTTCAAATATTGCTTATCTTGCGATTTAAAAAAATATTTTTATTTATGTTAAACTTTTACCCATATTTCAACTATTTATAGATAAAATGACGGGAAGGGAATCTGGAACTCAAGAAACGTGTGCAGATAATCTTCTCCCCCATACGTCACATACAGTTTTTACTGTTTTTTGACTAAATAAATCTAAATGTATTGAGAAGCAACGTGGTTTGATTTATAACAGATTTGGTTTAATTTGGTAATTCGTCGGTGAAGCCTTCGATTAAATCAAGTACTTAATCCTAACTTAAAACTACATTATTCTAGTTATCACTCTCAACAGTCCATTGTCCTAGACTTCATCGGCTCCCGGTTAGGGCTTTGCCCGGGAAGCAAAGACCAGAGGGGCGGAGAATTGTTGCTTGGGTGCGACGTTGGCGGTGCGGTTGCGTGGGGCCCCAACGCTCCTCAGGCGAGCGGGCGGGCGAGCGGGCGGCGGAAATGGCCCCGGGCGTGTGGCCGGCCCGGTGACGCGTTCTCTTCTGGCGCTAGCAGCAATGGGCCTGGGCGATGGCACCGTGGTCGTGGGCGGCGGCGACTGTGTGTCCGTCAAGGACTAGGCACAGATCTTGACTCTCAGGCGATTACAGTTCGTACAGTCATTCGCCTAGAGGTGATAGTTCGGCGTGCGGTAAATCAAGGTAACACATAGAGATTCAGTGATGCGCACAGCGGTGCCGCTCGTTCCGTTAACACGGCGGCCCGCGACACACAATGCGGCGGTTGCCGGATCGCGGCTCGGTTTTCGACGGTCCATGATAGTGCATATAGCCCCGCAACTCGTACCGGAAAACTTTACATTTTCTACGCCGCACGGGCTGAAACCGCGTTCCTCTCACTCGAAAACCAACTGCTCTCACTGCTTCCTGCCAACCGAATCACCGAAAGCGCGTCACAGTTACCTCCCTCGATTCACCGGGTCACGTGGTCTTCCCCCGCTCATTTTGAGAGGATTGGATCGTAGGAATCACGCGACCGTCTTGACCAACCGAGGCGACTTGCGAGCCGTTGAAAACGTACTTACAGATTTTCCGATCCGGGAGTTCTTCAAATTTTAGGCCCGTCTGCAAAGCGGCGTCGAGGCGCGCGGTGGGTGCGGTGAAGCTTCCCCTGAGTCACCATCTTCTGCGGGGGGCGTCTGCTCGAAACAATATCAGCCTTTCACTTCTGCCGACTGTCGGCACTCGCCGCGGCGCTCGCCGCGGGAGTATCTTCCGAGAGTACCTCCGAAACTGTCCTAGATCCACGTGTTTTATTGCGAACTTATAATATTTTTTGTATCAGTTTTATCACACACGTCGCCTTCACGCGTGTGGCGATCCCATTACAGAGGGAAAAGAGGGCACATCATTTTATGAAGCGCGGGTACTATATTGAGGATGGATGAAGGAGATCTTTGAGGAAACCGATCTAAGGATAATGTGCGTTTTGATCGAGACTGAATATTAGAGTTTTGTCGGGAGGAGAGAATACAATTTTTTTAAAGTTAGTGAGATGAATTCAGATAGAAGTGGTACTTATAGTTCCCTGTAGTTTTGAATTGGAAATGAGACAGAGAACTTTCAAGGATTTCTTTAGATATTTGTTTTGTTTGGTCTGTAAAACGAAAGGTTGGTCAGTGCTACGTTGCGCTATATTGGATATGCATATGTCATTGGGGGCTGCTTATAATGTTATAGATTTGATTGATTAGTGCTTCCAGTCACTGTATTTGCTAAGGTATTTTCAATTGAAGGTTAATCCAATTGTGACGTTTGGATTGTTTTATTGTGTCACTTTAGTGCAGACAACATGCACATTACTGATACTCGCTCGATATTGCGGTTGGCCAGTGTGCGGTGCAGATAACTATTCGATGTAGGGAAAAGGGGGAACTGTGAGAAAGTGAGAACAATGAGACATTTGGCATATAGCAAAAAAATTCGCGTTTGGTTGTTGGTACCTAATGTGGACATGTGTGCAAACTCTTTGATTCCTGTATTTCTGTTTCAAGATGCTGCTGAGTTTCTGTTAAAAAATATTTCATTGTTGAGAGGTAAGAAAAGATTCTTTTCTGCAGCTGTTATTTCAGTAATACACGAAGTATTGACCATATTTTATTATATAACCTGAAAATTCGTAATTTCAACAAGATAGTGATGATTTTGACTTTAAGACTGAGAAGTTACGATTGACAAAAAGCAGTTTGAATTAATATTATACCTGTATTTGGAACACTGATATACGTCTCACTGTTTCCAATTAATACATTTTTCTTCCGAGTCCTTGTTATTCATTTCTTACACCAGGATTCCAGTTTTCATAAATTGTAAAAGGTTTTTAACATAATATTTATGAAGACTGGTATTCACCGAAGACGTAGAGGAAGAACAATTACTGTCGCAGACACACCAGAAAGAAATAAACTTCAAGATAAGAAGAAACCTAAGAACATGAAACGATCTAAATCAGAAAAAAATGTTTTAAGATGACAGTGAAGATGATGGAGGTAAAGTAATAAACATGATTTTGGTAAACCTCATAACATATATGACCACAAAAAGGCAAAATATCCTATTTCTTTTTCTAAATACTTTGCTTCTTCTGATGTTCACTAGGATATATGACCATGCCATTATTCCCACTAGTCTCACAGCTCCCACTATGCGATTCATCAAGGATACAGTGAGACAATTTCAATCATTCGATCTTTCAATGTTTTAATTAATCGACAATTGATTGTATAGTAAATCAGTTAATGTTGTGAGATACAAATGTTTGCCGTATACCGCAGAAAAAAAATTGAGGAGATATTTTATATTTTTCCTGTGTCCAATTTTTTATCCAAAATTTGCGTCTCACGGTTCCCACTTAGAGAGAGGCGAGACTCTATGTTACTTCTTATATGAACTACTAGAGCGTATTGGAGCGCATATAAATATCACCGTCGTGCGAAATTTTCCGTGGTTTTGGCGGCAACCGGTCACAGCGCCCTCTGGGAAGGCGCTCTCTAGCGGCAACTATCATGTGAACCAGTCGCGTGAAAGTTCAAGTAATACATGATATGCTGCAAGCAATGGAAATTATAACTCTGAAGAGAATGTTCACGTATTTTGTTTCCAAAACGCGTAGTATAAAGAGCATCTGCCGCAGAGAGAGATTCTTCCCACGAGAAAGCTCATTGACCTTTAGTGATAAGCGGTGGAAATCTTGATATTGTGAGGTTAAGATCCACTTTGCTCTTCTATAAAGTAACTATTTTTAGCGTGCAGTTTCTAATTCATCACAGGTTTTATAATTGTGAGGTACATGATATTGTGTGGGAATGCAGTACTTAATTTGGATAAGTTGGGAGCAATCTTCAGTATTTTCGGCAATATCGAATGTGCCGAATCTTATTTTTCAACTCTTTGAATTCCTGTTGAAAGCTGGTTATGTGTTCGTTTGCCAGTTGAAACAAGTGCGAAGAGTTCCCTAGTTGTGTTTTGTAAGTTGAAGAAAGTCGATCATAGTATTATTCTTCGTTCTTGATGAAAATATGCAGTAAATTTGTTTATAAAAGTATTTGTCAGAGATGTCGCTGATTAAGTCAAGCAGTCAGCACTTTACAATATGCAGAATGTTCATTAAAAGGGCAAGTGCAGAATACATATCGTTTGG